TATAAGGGCAAAAGGACACTATAAGTGCCATAACTTGTGTACGGCGCTCACTTTGGTGCCATAACTTTTTTTCGGATCACTTTGGTGCCAAGTCGGAGGAAAAACGATCACTTAAGTGTCATAACTTTTTTTTGGATCACTTCAGTGCTAAAATTTTTGAAAAACGATCACTTAAGTGCTAAATTTTTTGAAAAACGATCATTTAAGTGCTAAAATTTTTGAAAAACGATCACTTAAGTGCCAATCTCCGGCGAGCCACGTCAGCTTCAGAAATTAATACAAAAAATGCCACGTCAGATTTCCGGCGAAAAATTGTGTGCGGCACCGAAGTTGGCACTTAAGTGATCGTTTTTCAAAAATTTTAGCACTTAAGTGATCGTTTTTCAAAAATTTTAGCACTAAAGTGATCCAAAAAAAAGTTATGGCACTAAAGTGAGCGTCGTACACAAGTTATGGCACTTGTAGTGTTCTTTTGCCTAATTATAAGTCAATAAAAGAATTAATGAACATGGCGTTATTGCCAAAATTCGACTGTCCAAGTGAAAAATGCCAAGTGTGTGTTGAATCAAAATTTTCTAAGCCTCCTTTTCATTCTATAGATAATAGAATCACAAAACCTTTAGATTTAATACACACAGACATTTGTGATTTGAAAGCAATACCGTCAAGAGGTGGTAAGAAGTATATTATAACGTTCATAGATGACTGTTCGAGGTATTGTTATGTTTATTTGCTTAGTAGTAAAGATGAGGCTGTGAATGCTTTTAGAACTTATAAGTCCGAAGTTAAAACTCAGTTAAATAAGAAAATTAAGATGATAAGAAGTGACAAAGGAGGTGAATATGAATTTCCTTTTAAAGAAATTTGTTCTGAGTTTGGTATTATTCACCAAACTACTCCTCCTTATGCGCCACAAGCTAATGTAGTGGCGGAAAGGAAAAACCGGTCTTTAAAGGAAACAATGAATGCATTGTTGAATAATTCTGGTTTACCACAAAATTTGTGGGGGGAAGCTGTTTTGACGGCAAATTTTATTTTGAATAGAGTACCCCACAGAAAGACACAACAAACTTCCTATGAGAAGTGGAAAGGCAGAACGCCTAATTTGAAATATCTCAAAGTGTGGGGGTGCTTAACTAAGGTTGCGATTCCTAAACCTAAAAAGGTTAAAATAGGACCAAAAACCGTTGATTGTGTCTTTATTGGATATGATATTAATAGTAATGCATATCGATTTCTTGTTCATAAGTCTGAGGTCCCCGATATACATGTTAATACGATCATTGAGTCAAGGGACGCTTCGTTCTTTGAAAATATATTTCCGTATAACATAGTTTATGAGCCAATTAACAATAATAAGAGGCATCGAGATATTACACCTAAAAGCGATCCTATAGAAGATGAACCTAGACGTAGTAAAAGACAAAGAACTTCTAAGTTCTTTGAAAATGATTTTCTAACATATTTATTAGAGAATGAGCCTCAGACCTTTAAAGAGGCTGTGACATCCCTAGAAGCCCCGTTCTGGAAAGAAGTTATCAATGGTGAAGTTGAATCCATCTTGTCAAACCATACATGGGAATTGGTTGACCTTCCTCCTGGTAATAAACCACTACAATGTAAGTGGATTTTCAAGAGGAAAATAAAAGCGGATGGTACTATTGATAAGTATGAAGCTAAGCTTGTGGTAAAAGGATACAAGCAACGAGAAGGCCTTGATTATTTTGATACTTATTCACCTGTTACTAGAATTACATCTATAAGGATGCTAATTGCTAGAGCAGCGGTGTATAGGCTTGAAATCCATCAAATGGATGTTAAAACGGCTTTCTTAAACGGGGATTTGGAAGAATAAATATATTTGGAACAACCCGAAGGGTTCATTGTTCCAGGACAAGAGAAGAAAGTATGTCGGCTTATCAAGTCACTATATGGATTGAAACAAGCACCAAAACAATGGCATGCTAAAATTCGACCAAGTCATGTTATCGAATGGTTTTAAGATTAATGAGTGTGATAAATGTGTATATGTTAAGAACACTCATAATAGTTTTGCTATTTTGTGCTTGTATGTAGATGACATGCTTATAATGGGTATCGATATTACAGTTGTCAATATGACCAAACGAATGCTCATAAGTAAATTTGATATGAAAGATATGGGGGTTGCAGATGTTATTTTAGGAATTAAAATCCACAAGACTTATGGAGGATTAGCTCTATCACAGTCCCATTATATTGATACGATTCTTGGAAAGTGCAAGAATCTAGACATTGTACCAGTAAAGACTTCGATAGATGTTAATCTACATCTTTCAAAAAATACTGGTGAAAGCAAAGCTCAAAATGAGTATGCTAATATACTAGGCAGTCTAATGTATATCATGAATTGTACTAGGCCAGATATAGCTTGTGCTGTGAGCAAGCTAAGTCGATTTACAATTAGTCCAAATGAAAATCATTGAAAAACTATGAAACGTGTATTGGGCTATTTGAAGCTCACTCAAAATTATGCTTTGCACTACACAGAGTATCCAGCGGTACTTGAAGGATATTGTGATGCAAATTGGATAACCGGCACAAGAGACACAAAATCCTAAAGTGGGTATGTGTTTATACTTGGTGGGGGAGCAGTGTCTTGGAAGTCATCCAAACAAACTTATATTGCAAGGTCTACTATGGAAGCAGAATTCATTGCTTTGGATAAGGCCGACGAAGAAGCTGAGTGGCTTCGAAATTTCCTAGAAGACATTCCTAATTGATCTAAACCAATGCCAACTGTGTGTATTCATTGTGATAGTCAAGCGGCACTAGGCAGGGCAAGAAATGTCATGTATAACGGAAAGTCCCGACATATACGTCGAAGACACGATACTATAAGACAACTACTCTCTAGTGGAATTATCACGATTGACTATGTGAAGTCAAAAGATAATGTTGCGGATCCATTAACAAAAGGCTTAACTAGAGAGTTGGTTGTAAAAACATCAAGGGGAATGGGTTTAAGGCCTATAAAATAAGTCATCATAGCGGAAACCCTACCTAGTTGACTGGAGATCCCAAGATCTAGGTTCAAAGGAACAACCAAGTTATGCAAGCGGAGTAGTGTACTGTCAACTCTTGCTCATTCCCGTATAGAGACAATACTAACATGTGGAGGTTAAGTGTAAGCTTTTAATGATTCTGATTCGGGTACATAATATACCACACAATCAGAAATCACATATGTGAGTGTGAAGTGAGGGCCGCTTCTATGAAGAATTTGAAAGGCCAAATTCTTCAAAGCACTCATGAATCCAGGCGGTGTTCGTGGCCAAAACGAACACAACAGTGAGAACCAACTTTGTTTGAGAGATAATTGTGTGATTTCTATTGTCTTGACTTACACGAAAGGTCGACAGTTCAAAGACATCAAGTCTATTGATTGACCGAGTAAGTCCGATAGGTCTCACTAGGGAAAGTTCAAAGCCTCAGACTACTTATCCCAATGCAACGTTCTCTCATGGAATAATCGCACATTGCATCTCATGCATACACGAAGAGTCATGATATCTGAACTTCTCATGGGGATTGTTGGGATTTTAGTATCAAAAATCCATAAATTGTGAATGAGAAGTGAGGATGGAAATAGTCCCACATTGGATAGAAGTTGTGATGAGAGATGGTTTATTTAGATAAGCCTCTCAAATGGGTTTGGGCCCCAAGGGATACCCTGCTTTTGTGGAAGGGAGAGGACCTACACGCCGCCGTCCGTCCGGCCGACTCGGCTCGGACCGGGCCCGAGTCCATTCTCTATCGATTTTTATTTTTTCCCGAATAGCCACGTTTTGTTAGAAATTAATTAATTATTTTTTTTTGGACAAACAAACATGTCTGTTCGTGAGATTCGGTTCGCCCGAAACATTGCTCGCAACTGTTCACGAACCAAACGAAAACTGCTTCGGTTCAAGTGAGTGCTTGCGACTGTTCATGGACCGAACGAAAAAACCGCTTCATTGCTCGCGACTCTTCATTTTCGCCATCTATAACCGGACTGTTCTGTTCGGTCTTGTGACTCTTCGTGGCATTCTTATTTTCCCGTGAGACTTTTTTCCCGACACTCTCTACACATTTTTCATTTGTTTCCGCAAGGCATTCTGCTGCATTTTCTTCATCATTGTGTGTTGAGACCCCCCTCTTTTGTTAAAAAAAGCTCGGGAGCTCGGTCACGACATTGTGCGATTATTATGTGAAGTTGCGTTCAAATATTTCCTTTGAAGAAGTACCTCTTCTTTGAAAAGGCGATCCGTTTTATCTTGGGATATAATTGTTTAACAACCTTGGGTACCGGTAGAGGGGACAAATTGTCTTAAGGACACAACGTGAATTCGTTGGACTCGGATCATTCGTCAACATTCAAATTGCTCGTCAGAACGTGACTTCAGGTTTGTCGAACAACTTTATTTTGCATATACAAGCACTATTAGGTGACAACAGAACTATCTTTTGAAAACCCAGATTATCGCATCAGTGGTCATAGTGGCGATCGCGACCAAGGTTGTTCACTCGGTAAGGGGACTAATGACCCTGGGTGGCAATGGGTGGTTCTTCTTAATGAAGCTCTGAAAGTCCAGGAAGATTTTCAAGTTCCGCATCAACAATATTGAAATCGCAGAAGACTGAACACAGTCCAAGGAAGATTTTACAGTCCCTTAATTGACTAAAACAAAGGAAGACGAACAGAAGTATCATTGTGCGAGTATTTTTATCATTTTACTTTATTAGGGTATGGATGGAGCCAATATAACTGGCCAACCCCAACATATTAGGAAAAAGCGGAAATCAGGAAAAAAAAACAATCGACCGATCAATTTCATGTCGCTCACCTGCTTGCACAGTTTTTTGTCCTCTTCTCCTGACATTTCCACGGGTCGGGATGGAGCCCGACAAATGCTATATACCAGCAAATATATGTTGGCACTCATGCGTCGATAGCGTAGTATGCAGTAAATAAAGAAGGCACCAAACCCCAACATTTTTATGCTGATTAGGAAGGATGATACGCTGATCATCAGCATCCCCCAGAATGTTCGACAAATCCTAGAAGCCCACCACAAGGCATTGAAATATGAAGGCATCAATGGACATCATTTTACCACTAAGACATTATTTATATGCCGGTGAACCAAGCTACAAGGGTTGAAATATAACTTGAAGTCCAAGTTTCGGGCGAATCGTGAGGACTTGAACCGGACAGTGGACGTAGGCAGATGACAATTTGAAAGTGTAGCGTTGCAGAATCATCGAGAGAATGATCTTCACCTCATGCGTCGCGAAGTTCATGCCTGCACAAATTCGGGATCCGAAGCTGAAAGGAATGAACACGACTGGGTTGTTGTTGGTGGCTTTGGCAATGCCTTGGGCGAATCGCTCTGGTTTGAATTGAAGCACGTCTTCTCCCCAGATTTCGGGGTCATGGTGAAGCTTGAGATTTCCTATTACGATCTGAATATTGGCGGGAAGAACAAGTTTTCCCAACCTGAGTTGCTGATCAACTTGCCTACTCATCCCGATGACAGGAGGGTATAATCGCAGAGTCTCATTTATGATCATGCTAATCTGCGCACACAAAGAAAATATGACAACTAGACATCAAGTTCATCAATCTTTGCCTTTCTAATTAAAGAAATTCTAGATAAGGCCACCCGAATTTTATTATATTTGTGAGATTGAACTACATTTTGTTCTACCAAATTAACCCCAGACTGAACATCTATATTCATACCGTCTTTAATTTTGCGATACCATCAGAGTCGGGATCACTGTTCCCAAACACATGGAGAACCTCCTTTCTCGCTTCCTCTTGCCAATCAGGGTGAGCCGCTAGGAGGAACACGACCCATGTCATCCATGCATTGGTGGTTTCTTGTCCCGCTAGGTAGAATGTCTTGCATTCATCCACCAGATCATCGATCGTGATTTTCTTGCTCTCGTCCATGCCACGACAAGCCTTCACAAGCTGTCCTAGGAAATCATCCCCGAAGTCAGCTGCCTTACCAGCCTTCACCTTCTCTTCCCTTTTCTCGACAATCCCCAATATAGCGTCGTATATGCCTCTCTCGAGCTTTTCCGCTTCGATTTCATCTGCCGTCTTCCAAAACTTACTGAGAGGTATTCCAAGAGAAACTCCCCTAGTTTGTTAGGCTAATCTCAACTAAACAGAGGTCAACCTAAAAATTGGCCAAAAACAATTTGTTCTTAAGAAAAGGAGGCATACCTTAATCCTGGGAACCTTACAAGAGGAATATTTTTGCTTAATAACACACCCAATCTTGCCAACATCTGGAAAATATTCCTGCCTTCGACGTAACTGCTTCCAAATGCCGTTTTTGAAATCACTTCGCTTGTGAATAACTTAAAGTCTTCAAACACGTCAATCTCTTTCCCTTCTTGATGCTTCCACCTTGCTAGCATCACGTGAACGGTGTCCACCATCACTGGAACCATATTCTGCGTGACAATTTCGAACCCCACAAAATTGGTAGAATCTGAATTTGTTAGTACAATCAGAGAACCATTCTCCTTTCTCGTCGTCTTCTTAACGGTTCCATTAGGTCGATCACGAAAAGCACATTCAGCTATTATTAATAGCATGGAATTTTATTTAAGATTGAGATTGTTGAAATAATGAACTTGGAGCACTTTACTATCAAGCTTAAGTACCTTCAAGCTTTCCCCGTGGAAAGTGTAATTGGCCAGTTTACGCTGTTTTGCCCATTTTTCATCATTATTGGTGGTCACAAGCCCATCCCCTAAAAGTTTCTTGACAAAGTCCTTAGCTGGTGTTTTCGGATATGTTTTCTCTCTATTAACTAGCACCTCTTTGATCAGTTCTGGTTCTGTGATGACCAGCTGAGCTTGAGTCCCATGCCAACTTAAGTAATTTCGCCCTACAAAAGTCATAAAAAATTCCAATCAACAACTAAGGTCGGATGATCCTGCAGCAGCTTTCATTATGGACATAAAGTAGAGCACAAAATCAGAACTAAAGCTAAGGACTTAAGTCATTTACCATATCTGTTGGTCCATGTGTGGATTTCAGGCTGAATCTTGGGGAATATGTCATGAGAGAGATTGTTCATGGGTATGTCCCTGACCTTCATGGTCATCTTGAATGATTCCTTAGTGCTTCCATGGACGAACTTGTAAGGAGGACCTCTGATTCCCTGCTCATTCATTATCCTCTTTATCCTGAGCGGGTTCCACCATAACTTGTACCAGAGTTTGGCAAGAGACAAGAAGAGAAACAGAAACAGAGAGCTCAAGATAATGAGCACCTGCATGGTTTCTTTCCGAGGTAGGGAAAGGAAGGAAGTAGAGGAAACTAGAAAATCCAAATCATGGGTTGTGAAGTGATGATGATCAAGCTTTTAAGTGGCTTTGGCCGGAGGAATCTGTGAGCCGGGTGGTAAGAACAGGCTCAAAATGACCGCCTTTCGGCATTGATTGATGGAACGGCTGATACTGACATCGAAAATGTCGCATTTGCCGGCTCTAGTATGTTTTAAGAAATCATCCCTCAAGACAATAAGGTGAAAACGGATCTTACAATTAAATTAATACGAGAAAACCAAAGAAATAAATGAGAAATAATAAAGGACACCGGAGATGTATATGATTCGATTCGAGTTCTTTACCTACTCTACGAGAGAGTCTCCAAATAATGCATTAATAATTGAAAAAACGCATGCTTGAGTGAGCTAGAATGTTTCCGTGCGTGAAGTTGTTCTTTACACGGCAAGTTGCGTCCCATTTCTTGTTGGCCTTTTATGGCTTAAACAAGAGCGGCCTATTTCGTCTTTCTTGGGCAATTTTTATACTGAAGGAGGAGGAGACGTCCACTTCTTGATCAACCAGTCAAATTTGATTGAAAGAAGAAACTAATCTTGTTGGCCAAATCTTGAAATATATTTCCAACAGAAAAACAAACCTTCAGTTATCAAGTTCCACCGCTCAAGAAATTCAAATTTAATTGGAGTTTAACAAATCAAAATCCTCCAAACAGGTCGGGTTTTGTATACAAACTCAAACCTGAGACATAATTTAACACATAATTCGACACCTTAATTTAAAAATATCTTTGTTAGATTAGGTTTTATATTCAAGCATTGCATTTATCAGAATATGTATTGAAAAAGATCATTAGACCAACCTTAATGTCAAGTAAATAAAATTAGACAGGTGGTAAGCTCGCCGGAGGCATTGTTTGTGTGATGTCGGATGAAATAAACTATCAACAATCAAAGAATGATTTCTTATCAATCAGATGTGCTCTAAATCTAAAACCATGAACTTATTGTAATTCATCAAATTTCACAGACTTAAGGTTGAGACTTTATAGTGCCTCAGATTGGAGGAGACATATTAATAATGTCCGTGTCACGTTCGCCTCAGTGCTCACCACATGAAACTTCACTTTTGTTTTTGAGACTTATGGCACAATTTTGCCACATGACACACATTTGACCAATAAATTTTTAACTTAATGATTGGTAATATGCCAGTTTTATCTCTTATTAAATTTAAATTTTATAAAATAAATAAATGAAAATTATGAACATTTTATCTCTTATTGACTTTCAACTTAAAAAAGAAGGATAAATTAGAGAAAGCATTCTCAATTGTAATCTATCATCTCCCAATTTCGATATTTAGTTTATATTGAGTTTAAAAATTAGAAAATGGATAAAGAGAAAGTATATCAAAAATTATTTTAGTAAGCTTAAAATGTAAAAAAGGACAAATTAGTGAAAATATTTTAAATTAAAGCTTAGCTTGTTTCGTGAAAAATGTGATATTTCTGGAAAATATTTTTCGGGAAGTCATTTTTATGCATCCAGAATTTTCATAATTATATTTAGGATATAAAGTTAAGTGTTATTTAATTTGGGACCCTCGGATGGCATGTAGGTTGTTAATTTTGTGAGGTGCAGAAGGTGCGAAGGACAATTTTTCGCATCTGTAATTGCTAGAGTCTGATGTGTTAGAATTGAATTGATAAGATATTGGCGTGTGCATTGATGGTGTGGCATAACAGTAATTGATTTACTACCATATGAGTTGTAGATGGGGGCTGATGTACTCCAAATTACTTATTTGAGAATTTTCAAGTTTAAATTTACTAAATTGAAATTTTCCTAGCATTCGGTATTGCTCACTAATAATTTAGTGGGTTCAAAATATTTTTCGGGTTTATCAGTACTTTAGAGCGGACACCAGTTTCCATAATTACGTATCGATTTATTAGATATTTTGGAAATTTAACAAAATATCTACTTTGGAATAAACATTTGGTCTCTCTTTAAATTTAGTACACGCCTCTTTTCATTTTCTACCAAGCATTTTTGAACCACTAGCCTTAAATTTGTGACATTCAACTTGGCTAACCTTCGATCAAAAAAAAAACTTGGCTAACCATGATGTCATGCATTACATTATCTATGTTAACCTTAGTCCATTAATGCCTTAAGATTCGAGGTGTGACACTTTCCATTTATGGTTCCATTCAATTCCATCAATCCTCCATCAACGTCTTTGTTCCTAATATATTTTCGCTCATCATCTTCTCTACCTATTATCCATTTTTCCCCTGCTTTCACCTAGTTTGCTCCTTCCGTTCGCAACTGGGGGCGGCAATTCATGTCCTCATGCATATTCATGTCTTGTCAACATGGAAGTGTATGTTTAGGCAAGTAAATCGAACAGATGTGCTAAACAATTTTTTTTTCAGGAAACTCGAACACCTAATGAATACGTATCAGAACACGATTCACCTAATCCGTTATATTAAAGGGGTAAAACCAATCCTATTTAACCTGGACATAAGTCGAAACAAATCTTTTAGATAAAATGAACTTCTGTGGCTCTTTCATCAAACTATGACCCCAAAATTAACTACATCATATATGCTGATAAACAAGCTATAATGGATGAAATATAACTTGAAGTCCGTGTTGCGGGCGAGTCAATAAGAGTTGAACTGGACTGTGGATGTACCCTGGAGACAATTTGAAAGTGTAGTGCTGCAGAATCATCGAAAGGACGATTTTCGCTTCATTCATGGCGAAGTTCATTCCCACACACATTCGAGGCCCGAAGCCGAAGGGAAGGAACACCACTGCGTTGTTGTTGGTGGCTTTAGAGACGCCTTCTGAGAATCGCTCTGGTCTGAAGAGGTGCACATCTTCTCCCCAGATTTCGGGGTCATGTTGAAGCTTGAGGTTTGCTATAAAGACTTCAATATTAGGAGGAAGAACAAGTTTCCCTAGCCTAAGTTGCTGGTCCACTTTTCGAGCAAACCCAATCACAGGAGGGTATAATCGTAGAGCTTCGTTCATGATCATGCTCATCTGCACACAAGAGAAGACATTAGTTGACAACACGTACAACTCAGAATTTAGAAGAAGGACGATTTCATTGTATCTTTCCAGTAAAATTAACTCTATTCCGTCCTCGGTAAATTTCTGAAAGAGATGTTAAGTGTCGAAAAAACTGTCGGTACAGAAATTTACCGGTCACGTAATTTTACAATAACTTAAGGGTAACTAACAGACACTTTTATGGAATTACTTTTTTTTTTGCACAGTTTAGCAAATGCTCTAATTTTTAAACTTCTATATGAACTCATCAATATTTATTTGAGTAACTCACCAATTTTTTCCTGATTAAATTACAAACTAGTTTTGGGTTACCAACTCTCATTTGAGTCATAGATTTATTTTTTTTTCAATTTATGAATTTTTTTTATAGTTTACCAATTTTTTTTTGTCTCTCTTACAAACGTCTTATAATTATCAACTCTACATGATTCTATCTACCTTTATTTTTGCAACTGACCAGTTTTTCCATGTTAGATTGCCAATTAATTTTAATTTACCAAATCTTATTTAAGTTGTTCACTGACGTTAATTTAATTATAAATTTTACCAATTTATCTATTGACTTACGAATTTTTATTTTCCTTACTTACCAACCTATTAAATTTGCAAACTTCGTTAGAAATTACCAACCTTAATTGGACTGCTTACCAAATCTTTTTATTAATTTCATGTAAGACTTCTAAAATTCAAAACGTTGGTAAGTTATGCAACAAAGACTTGTTTGTTCACATATTTTTTTTACTTTTCCCGCCAAAATTTAAAATATTGTCCAAAGTTTAAAAATTGTGAAAAACTACGTATGATTCTACATGTTAGCATAAGGCAAAATGTCGAGGTGTAAAATTTAGATTATTTGAGTAAAGAGTAAAAAGTAAAAATCAATTCAGACAGATTCAAAAGTTGGTAAGTTAGTACAAAAATTACTATTTACAAATTATAAAAGAAGTCGATAATTACGTAAAAGCGTTGGCAAGTTATCGGCAAGTTACATGTAAGCACACTGGTCTTTTATTTTATTTTTTGCTTTTACCGACAATTTTTTCAGTTATCGATGGTTGAGCCTCAAGTTTACGTATAAGGGTGTTCCTCAAACAGAGTTGCAAATGGTATAATTCTGGTAATATAGAGTATCAATGAGTTTGCGTTTTGGACTCAAACAATCAGCCATACCAATCATTTCTAGACTACCAAATCAATCAAGACAAAGACCAGTTCGATTTTTCATACCGTCCTCAACTTCGCGATTCCATCAGAGTCGGGGTCGTCATTCCTGAATACATCAAGAACCTCCTTCCTTGCTTCCTCCTGCCAATCAGGATGACTTGCTAGGAGGAACGTGACCCATGTCAGCATTGCGGTGATGGTTTCATGTCCGGCGAAGTAGAATGTCTTGCACTCATCCACCAGACCATCGACCGTGATTTTCTTGCTCTCATCCTTATCATGATAAGCCTTCACAAGCTGCCCCAGGAAATCATTCCCATAGTCATCTGCTTCCCCAGCCATCACCTTCTTCTCTCTTTTCTTGGCAATCTCCAAGATCGCATCGCGTACGCCTTTCTCGAGCTTCTCAGCTTCAATTTCATCCGCCGTCTTCCAAATCTTACTGTGCCCGGATTCAACAAGAAACGCCTTAGTTTGTGAATCTAAAGTGTAGATTGATTTTCTGTCAAATGTGTGTTCAAGTCTCCATTTACCTTACTAGCTAGCTAACATCATTATATTTACAAGCTGCCTTTTATGATTCTATTAGGTTGTTCAAATACTGGGAAGAATCGCAAACTGTAAGTTTGATCACACAGTTATTGTCCGCCGGCTTGAAACCACTCATCAAACTTTTACTAACTTATTTCTTTTAGTGAGATCTCACGTAGGTCTCACTGCTACTTGGGGTTGGAATTGCTTATATCCGAATCCACATGAATCGGTTTAATCACATTCCATCACCATGGAAGGTCCACATGATTTCCACGAGGATCCCACAAAAATCAATGATTTTGATTCACTATTATCCGCAGACAATTATCCATGCACCTTTTTTTCTCGACTTTTCAAAACATGAGTGGCATAGTCTATTTGACTAAAGCTAAAACGAGCTCCCGCAGGTTTCGGTACTTTTCTCTTCTAGCTTCTATACATCCTAATTTTAAGGTAATTTTTCTTAGGAAAATGTTGAAGAGGAATACCTCATTCCCGGGAACCTCATATGCAAAGCATT